AATTTTGAAATTTTAATTGTAGGATGTTTGAGACCACTTATAATTGGGCGTAGAGGAGTACCAGGTTTGTGAGCTTTAGGCAGATAATATAAATGAGCTAATTCAACCTCATTTGATTTAATATTTAACAATTCGTAATGTTTTTGAGTAATCCATTTAGCTAATCGTAAGTCTAACAAATATTTATTTGTTCTTTGAATTAATTCAGGTAATGGATCTTCTTTATCAAGACATTTATATGCTTGAGTTTTGTCCATATATTCCTTGGATTTCTTATGATAATCTTCAACTTTACCTAAATGGAATACTTTTGATTTATCTGATTTTTGTAATATAACATTAGCCAATTTAAATTTATGTTTTAATCTCTTTACCAATCTTCCATAATTTTTCTTTTTCTTTACTTTTATTCCATTTAAAACTTGTAATTGACTTGCTTGACTATTTATTGATTCGATAATATCATTTTGATTCATTTGACTCCCAATCACTAAACTTTTATTTAAATTTTTACTTGTTATAGAAATATTATGTAACGTTTGAAGAAGAACATCTAATTCGACGATAAATTGTTGAAGTGGACGACCGGGGCTAACTTTCTTACGAAGAAAACATTTTCCTATTTTACGTTTTAAAGTAGCCAACTCAATTGTACGTCGTCGAGCTGCTGTTTTTGGATCATTAAATATAAATTTTGGTCCCAGTTTTAATAATTGATGTTCTTCTTCAGTTAATTGTATATTAGCTTCATTAATTATTGCTGGAGCAAGAAATCCTCGCCCAGCGAACGTATTAGAGTCGGAGCGATTATTTCCTCTTCTGGATTGTTGGTTTCGCTCTCGACTCGCTGTTCGAATAAAAAATAAAGCGATTGTTCGATTTCTAATTTCATTCTTTTCTCTCGTAATTCATGATATTGTTTAAAAGCTGCATAACCAGGTTCAGCATCAAATCCATCATCATTTTCTTGCGGAAATCTTTCGATAATGCCTTTAATTTCATTCGATAAGATTTCATTTTCTCGAGCAGCTGATTGAACACATAATGTCATTGCTTGAGTACGAAAATCTTTGGTAATTTGACGCATT